GGCCATGTCCGTCTTCCAGTCTGGCACTAGGGGGCACTGTGCCATGGAGGGGAGGGGTCCCAGCCATGTCCCATCTCCCAGCCTGGCACTAGGGGGCACTGTGCCATGGGGAGTCCTGGCCATGTAACATCTCCTGGCACTACGGGGGCCCCGTGCTGCAGGAATCCAGCATTCACATTCTCATACTGTCATGATTTCCCCCCGCTCCATGTTCCACAGAGAATTGAGGGCGCAACAGTCTCTCCTGGTGTGAAATACTTTGGCCAATCCATTCATGGACAGATGGACCTCAATGGGGACGGGCTACCAGACCTCAGCGTTGGGGCTCTAGGAGAGGTGATCATGCTGAGGTGAAGCTGTTTACCGGACTCCTGGGTTCTCTTCCTAGAGAGTGGGATATGGGGCCTTTCCCCTCTAGGAGCTGCTGGGTCCCGTCTGGCCTGAGGGCAGGGGGATTGGCTGGATCAGGGGGTGGGGAATGGGCCACCAGACCTTTCTCCTCTAGGGGGGTGCTGGTTGAGACTGTCCGTTGTTTCCCCAGTCCCCGGCCCGTCTTGACGGTGGTCCCCAGGATGTCGTTCTCGCCAGAGGAAATCCCGGTAAAGCAGGTGGAGTGTTCAGGGAGTGTTTCATCCCGGCAGGATGTTCAGAGTAACCTCACCGTCTGCTTCAGTGCCAGCCGAGCCACCACGCGCTACCAAGGTCAGAGACGTGGGCTGAACCACTTCCTCTAACCCATTAGGTCTCACTCCTGTCCCAGAGCGGGAGCTGGAGCCCAGGAGTCCTGGCTCCCAGCTCTTCCTCACTCGCCCATACTCCAACCTTTATGCATTCCCCCCCTTCTCTCCTGCCAGAGCCTCTCTCTGCCAACCTCACCTACTGGCTGGAGATTGACGCCAATCGCATGAGGAGCCGAGGAGTGTTCGGGAACGGGCAGAGGAACACGTCTGGGACCATGGAGATCTCGGAGCAGGAGCTCTGCATAGCAGAGATGATCCAGATATCAGTAAGGTCCCACGCCGTGGCCAGTCATGGTGGCTGTCTATACAAGGGATCCCTTGCCCAGTGCCGCAATGTGGCCACCTCTAGGGTGGGGGGCAGGGACTGGTGCTACAGGGATCCCTTGCCCGGCACTGAGCTGCTGCAGCCTCTGGGGTGGAGCGTTTACAGAGCGCTCACTCTCCCTTCAGAACTGCCTCGAGGATTACGTCACTGAAATCAAGGTCTCGCTGCGCTTTGCCCTCCAAGAGGACGATGGCCCCAGCAGGACCCCACGTCCGGTGCTGAACCCGTTGTACAAATCGTCAGCGACAGAGGTGAGGGGAGCCCAGCCTGGCATCGCTCGGCTCTGTGGGGCTGGCTGGGCACCGGAGCTGATCTGGGAGGAAGCCAGCCCAGGCCAGCTGATCTGGTGTTAACTATCGGGCTCTGGTCTCTGTTGCAGATCCCCTTTGAGAAGAACTGTGGGGAGGATGGGGTGTGTAACGCTGACCTGCAAATCCGCTTCCACCAGAATACGTAAGGCAGGGGGCGCCGTGCTGCGGGGAGTGGGCGGGGGGCTCGGCGGGGGGCGCTGTGCTGCGGGGAGCGGGTTGGGTGCTCGGCAGGGGGCGCTGTGCTGCGGGGAGCGGGCGGGGGGCTCGGCGGGGGGTGCCGTGCTCCGGGAGGTGGGCGGGGGGCTCAGCAGGGTGCACACTCCCCCTGCAGTCATTGACAATCCCAATGCCCCAGTATCAGAGCTTTCCCCTAATACTTCCCGCATCACCCCATGGCTCTGTTAACCCTTTAATCACCATGGAGAGACTGAGAGCTGCCCTCAGTTGTGCTCCCACCAACCACGTCCTCCTCCTCCCCAGCTGTCCCCACCCACCCCAGCGACTGCTCCTTCCATCTCCCAGTGGCTCCTCCCCCACTGCCACCTGCCCTGCTCCCCTCTCATCCTGCTCACGGATTTGGGGAAGAGGAGGGAGTGGGGGGTCTGCTCCCATGTACCGCCCATTGCCCGGACACCTGGGTCCTTCACAATCCTCAGCCCCTCACATTATTTGGTGCCCAGTGCAGGGAGTTGCTGCTAACTGGGTCTCTCACCCCCGCCCTCGTCGCGCAGGTCGCAGCAGCTGTTGGTGTCGCCCTCCACCAGGCTGGCGGTGGTGCTGGAGCTCGCCAATGGCGGGGAAGATGCTTACCACACAGCTGTCCACCTGCCCCAACTGCCAGGACTGTCCTTCCGCAAGGCCTCAGTGCTGGAGGTAGGGGGGGCTCAGGCTCTTGGCAGACTCAGGCAGACACCCCTGTGTGGGTGACACTTGGGACAGCTTTAATCTGGACCAATCTCAGGGAGGCCTGGTTGCCTCACGGGGAAGGGGAGCAGGCCATGGGGCCTTTCCCCTCTAAGGGGCACCATCGCTGATTGGGTCCAAGGCAGGGGACTGGCTGGCTCAAGCGGGCGGGGAATGAGCCATGGTGCCTTTCACATCTAGGGGTACCAGCTCCAACCTGGCCCCAGGGTGTTCGGGGACTGGCTGTCTCAGGGGGTCTTGTTTCCTGACTGGTCTCGCAAGCACTGCTGGGCAGGATTGGGGTCCCCCCCACCTTACTTCTCATTGGTGTTTCCCCCCCACAGTCCAGTGTCCAGGCCAGAGTGAGTTGCAATGGCCTGGAGACTCCAGACACTAACTCCAGGAACCTCTCCTGTAACGTCAGCCACCCGATCTACTGGGGGAACAGCCGGGTGAGTCAGTGCCACCTCTCATGGCCCACAAGGGTACTAGGGGGCACTGTGCAGCAGGGAGTGGGGGTGGGCTCAGCAGGGGGCACTGTGCTGCAGGGGTGCTGTGCAGCGGGGGGGGCACTGTGCTGCAGAGATCGGGGGTTGGGGTGGCGCTCAGTAAGGGGCACAGTGCTGTGGGGAGCAGGGAAGAAGGTGGCGCTCTGTAGGGGGCGCTATGCTTCAGGGATCGGGGAAGGGGCAGCACTCAGTAGGGGCGCTGTGCTGCAGGGAGCAGGCGGGGGCTCAGCAGGGGGCGCTGTGCTGTAGGGAGAGAGCGGGGGGCTCAGCAGGGGGCGCTGGGCTGCAGGGAGCAGGCGGGGGGCTCAGCAGGGGGCGCTGGGCTGCAGGGAGCGGGGAAAGGGACGGTGGTCAGCAGGGGGCACTGGGCTGCAGGGAGCGGGGAAGGGCGGTGGTCAGCAGGGGGCGCTGGGCTGCAGGGAGCGGGGAAGGGGCGGTGGTCAGCAGGGGGCGCTCTCCCCTCGCAGTCAGGGCTGACTCTATTCTCTCTTGCCCTGGGCAGGTTCTGATCCAGCTGCTGTTTGACATTCTCACCAACAGTTCCTGGGGGGACTATTTGGAGCTGGACGTCATGGCCAGCAGGTGGGAGCGGAGCTCTGGACTAGCCTCTCAATAATCGGACCAAGCTGCCTCTGGGGCCATCCCTGTGGATCCTGGGTGCATGGCCCACAGCCCCCCCCAGCTGCATGGGCCACAGCCCCCCTTGCTTGGACACTGAGAGGTTGGGGGCGGGCATGTCCTGTGTCACGGGGAGTATCGTTGTTCCTCAGCTGTACCGCCCGAAGCAAGCTGGGCTGTGTCAGCCCCGGGCGAGGGATCCCTGTATAAACAGCCCCCATGCCTCACCCCAGAGGTGGCCGCATCTCAGAGCTGAGCAAGGGCTGGAACCTGTAAAGCACGTTGGGATGTCTGTGGTTTAAGGTGCTATAAATATCGGTGCCTGCCAAGAGGATGTCGCTGGCATATGGGGCAGGGAGCCCAGCACTCATTCGGGACTGGGGGTGGCTGCAGGGGGCTGTAACATGTTTCCTTCTTGTCCATCTGCTCTCCCTCCCAGTGACAATGACATGAACGGGACCCTTGCGGATAACAGACACTCTCATAGGATCCCAGTCCTATACCCCATAAACATCATCGCCAAGGGGTAAGACACCATCCCCCCTCTCCCCTGCCAGCGCTGGGGCTAGAACCCAGGAGTCCTGGATCCTCATGACTTAAGCTCCCTCTTCCCCTCTCTGCGCCCCTGACCTGTGGGTCGGGGCCAGCCCTGCTCTCTCTTCTCACCAATGTCCCTCCCCATCACAGAATGGATGGGTCCACCCAGTACGTCAGCTTCAGCTCCAGCTCCCCGAACTCAGAGAACAAGTCCGTGCAGCACATGTACCAGGTGAGGGGCTGGGCGAGGCTGGGCAAGGTGTGGGGGGAGAGGTGCCATGCTGGCCAGGGGGAAAGGCCAGGATCTGATAGGGGGCGCCCTCCCCTCCAGCCCCATACCACTGCCCCCAGACTGCCACAGCCCTCTCTCCACAGCTCCCTTCCCCTCCTCCTGCATTGCCCACCTCCCATGTCCCACTCCCTGGCCTCCCGCGTTACCGCCCCCCATGCCAGACTTAACTCCCCCACCCTCCCCTAATGCCCCACGTCCCCTGTGGCCCTGGTCATGGCCCGGCCATAAGGGCCTGCTCCGCAGCCTCGTTCCCATTGCTCTCGGCACTTCTCTTTGGCAGGTGGAGAACCTGCTGCCTGGGAGTTTCCAACAGCCAGAGGTGACGGCATTTGTGATGGTGCCGCAGGAGTTCCCGCCTGGGCTAGCCTGGGACTGGCAGGAAGTGAAGACAGTGAGTATAGTGTGAGGGAGCCGAGACCAGGCACAGGGGATGTCGCACAGCACCCCAGTGCCAGCGCGGGAGGCAGGACACAGCCGGGGCCCTCCACAGCACCCCAGTGCCAGCGCAGGATACGGGACACAGCCGGGGCCCCCCACAGCACCCCAGTGCCAGCACGGGAGATGGGACACAGCCGGGGCCCCCCACAGCACCCCAGTGCCAGCGCAGGAGGCGGGACACAGCCGGGGCCCTCCACAGCACCCCAGTGCCAGGGCGGGAGGC